AAGGAATTTAATAAATAAGCCACTTCGAAAAAACAAAATAAATATAGCTAAATAAAAAAAGGAATTTGAAGGCCTAGTATGCGTGTCTCCTTATTTTTAGAATGACGTATTCCCATCGGATTACTGTGCTGGAGTTCTTTTTGCTCAAGTAAATGTGATTTACTTTGCCGAGAGGCTGATGCATCTCAATGGGAAACTGAAACATTACTGATATACTGCTATAAACGGTGACACATTTTGTGATATCAGGACTTTTTTTAGGGACAACACAATCACTAATTTAACTAATCTAACTTTGCTGATACCATCAGTGTTGATTGTGTATGCCGATACTGTTTAATGCCGCTGCCATTTTTGGTTTGTGGAAGACAAGCTGGTCTTTCTGACAAAATGCATCAGAGAGCTGAAGTCCCAGCCCAACGCATTGTTTAGATTCTGGTTCCGTAGATGTCATTTCTTGACAGTGCTTTAGACTTCTATCATTTGAGAATTTTGTAGTCCGTAAATTGTATGACAAATGTCCTTCACAAATGACCAGATCCCAAAGTCATTGGGAACAATTGATGGCACCTTGCATGGTTTTATGCTTTCACATGGGTGTGAACGGGTGAATGACATACAGTGTTAAAGGCTTGGAGTGGTCGCGAATAAGTCATGAATTAATTAAAAGGAACAAGAATGATTTAATAAAGTGACCCACAAGGCCAAATGGCCACGATTACACATATTGGCTTCACACTGTTGCATCTATGTTCTTCACTTTCTTAATTAACAAGCTCTCTCTAACGACTCTAACAAAAATGTCCTCTTTCTTCTCCCTTTTCTTCTTTCTCCCAGCCTACAAAGCCTCAGACAACAGGCTCGCTCTTCAAAAAGCATGACATTCAGATCTCAGATCCGAGTTTATTGGTACAGCCTTGATGTCGACCTTAACTCACACAAGGGAGTCTATGCAAATGAGCCTGTTGTCGCATTGCTGATCTGATATGCTAATAGTCTCTCAGACCCAGACCTTGAATGGTATTTTGCTTGGTAGACGCAGTGTTAGCTTCCTCTATGGTGTATTGTTCAACTGAATTGTTTTTCTTCTCCTCTATTTTATTGCATGGGCAAAATAAAGCTTCAGGACACACAAATGTATTGTAAGGCTTTGATAAAAGCAAACGAAAAAACTAAATTACGTCTTCAAGATACTTTTAGAACAATTCTGAATAAAAGACAGATGTCTGCACTGAAACATACTCATGTTCAAGTACCATAAAACAATGGCAGGTTTTAGTAGAGAAGAAGCCACTGGACTGATTACGATAGTCATGTATGAAGACAGCCACCAAATGTCACATCTGTCAGCTAAGCTATTGTGCCATAACCAGACTATATTCCATGTTATTATAGTATGACGATTGTCATTAGTTCGTCTATCAGCGGAAATTAGTGTTTTGTGGGATTTTGATTTTAAATCATGCATGTCATCTGTGGGGTCTTGCAGTGTTACAGCTCTTGTCAGACTGGCATTTACTGTAACGATTGGCATTTGCTCTTCAGCATCTGTAAATCTCAGTATGATGTTGTTTTCAGGGGCTCATTAACATATTTTCTCCTCCACAACTTTCAATTTGGAATATGTTGTCATCTGACCCTCATTTCAGATTCATGGAATATGAAGCACAGTGGAGAGTAGCATTCAAATGAGGAAATAATAGCGTTCTGTCAAATGTTATATAAACCCGTCAACAACAACAGCAACAGGGATCAAGTCTGTCCAATTCATTAATTATGCATGTTTAGCTTTTATTTCCCCTGCAGGCCTTTCATTACCGCACATTCGCACAAGGATGGCAACTATTCATTACTTTTAACCCCCCCCCCCCCCAGGAATTGGAATTGAAATTGAAATGGTCTGACATACAGTGAATTAATGAAAACGTAAGTGTTGTAGTAAGTCAAATACCCACCTGCGTCCATCCAGACACCTTCAAATTCATATTTCACAGTGCTGTCAGACTTTTGACCTTATAGTTTGAACGAAGTGTTTTCTGAGTGAAGGCCTGCACGGCGGTATAGTATGCTCTTGGTATTTATGCGTCCCAGCCCAACAACCACTTCACACTCACAAACGGAAGACTCACACAGCGGAATATGAGTTTATTCTGTTGGGTAGCTGTTACTTAACATGATCAAATCTGTGTTTTTGAGGTAGGTCCCTTGGAATTGAATTGTTTGTTTGTTTATGCCCAGAAATTGCTGAAATTGAGCCAGCAGGGCAGCTGAAATTGAGCCAGAGCAGTTCCAACAACCAGAAATTGTCTGTGTAGTTCTTGTAAAATGCAGATGAAAATGTATTTTACTTTTATATTACGTACAACATGTCTAAACCTTGCGAAAAACATTTTGATTGTCTCTAATGTATAATGTATGTTCACAATGACAACATGTTGATAGCAGGTAATGTGTAACATGTTCACCATCTCAATTAAACATGTTAACAGTCTAACATTTGCTAATTAGCACCAAACACAAAGTACAGATCATGGGGATGCCATTAGTTTAGCAGGTATTTGGTCACCAACACCAAATTAAAACTTGCTAAATGAAAAGTCAGGGGATCACCAAAGTTATTATGATAATGTCCTGAGGGGGACATGAATGTCTGTCGCTTATTTCATGGCCATCTATCCTGTAGCGGTTCACCCAAATTACAAGTTTCAACCTGCTGGCCGTGATAGAGGAAAAGTCAGACGATCACCAGAGTTAGCAGGATTTATTGTCGATGAACATTGAATGTCTGTACAAAACATATTCATCCAAAATGTATTTATTCATTTATTAGATAAGGACAGAGCATTTTTAATGAACATCAGTATAAAATACAAGATGAAAACATGCCGGAGTTAGCAGAAATGCTAATTTACATCCGTAGTCCCTATGGCAGGTAACAATGTGACGATATACAGATACAAACATGCAATACACAGGTCTGTCTTACCGACGTGGGGGACCGACCGACCAATTGACACTGACACTCTTGGAGTCACAGCAAAACCCTTCACTTATATTAATAAGTTGTACTTCGTAACACACCTTCCAGTATGCATCACAATTGTCTGTGTTCATGCTGTTGAACAATTACTGTTGCATTTCAAAATTACAATGATCAACACTCGGCACAAAATAACCCACAACCGAAAAAAAGGTCAAATTAAAATAAATGTCAGAACATCATTAGGGGATTCCTGCAGTGAAGACACTGGGACTCAGTGACAAACACACACAAACAGTGAGAGATAAGTGGGCATCAATAAGACGTTTACACCATGGAACTCACTCTGTGTTCGTATTGAACATGTCTTCGCACCGAGCTGCTTTTCAGAGTCGAAGTTTTCAAAATCAGCTTGTGGAGTAATTATAGAGTTTTTCGCCCTTTGGAACCTTCCTTCATCAGATAATGAAGCAATAACGATTGCATAATGAGTCTTTTATGAAAACTCAACAGACTAGCCTCGGCAAGACGCTCTAACTCTGTGCTGAGTCAGCTGACAGCCTTATCACACCAATCAAATCTCAGCGCTTATATTCACTGATGTTGCTTAGCTGCTGCTCCTCCACCACAACCTCCACCTCCTCTGGCTCTGCTCTGTTTCATCCTCCCCTCTGAGGTTGTTTGCTATGCTCCCTCCACTTTTTATTTATCCTGCTGTGCTGCCGCCTTCCCAGCAGCAGATCCATGCCACCAAGTCAAGTAAACGTATTGCCTACTAGGACTGCAAAGCATGACATCAGTAACTCTGATTAAATGATGATTACAGGCAGTGACCTCATTCCACCTTCCTACATGGCAGTGAGCTCAGAGAGGAAGCGAGGGGGAGAGTTTGGTGGAACAGAAAGAATTGGTGATTCTGAACTCTGTGCCTCATTGGCGAGATCATGAAGATTTCGATTTTTACGCTTCTATTGCAGTATTTCTCCCAATTGATTTGTGGTGGTCATGCTGGCTAAAATTAGTTAATACAAAAATTCTGTAATTTTTTTCAGGTGGTGACAAATCTCTCAATGGCCACATTAAACTACAATAAAAAAAAATAAAAAGCACAGAAAACACTGCTGTTGTCTTGTTCTATTTTGTCCGTTTTGTCTTCTTTCTTTCACCATAACATGGAAAAGTCATAGCATCCTTCCTCTATAACTACATTGATGGATGTCTTTGTGCTTTTGGGTCTCCTCTATGATGAATGGTTTTTTTTTGTACTTGTTGAACTCTGGGCTTTGAAGCTTTGGGGAAAGAAAAATAATGAAACCCTCAAACAAATTATAAAATTATAAAGAGAAGGTGCAAATTGCTTCTGTGTAATTATGTTTTCATCAAGTACATTCATGTTTTGAAGCCACCAGGCTCATTTGTGCTTAAGAGACCTCAGGTTGCTTTTGATTAGTCCCACTTATAAATAAATGATTCCTTTAAGAAACAATTTCCGCAAGAACTGGCATAACACACCAATATGCAAACTGTCTAATCATTTATTTATTTACTTTACAAGACAATTAAAGACAATTAAAGATTAAAAAAATGAATTAACCAATATCATTTGATACACATACATAAGTGTGTGTCATCTCATAAACAGTGCTCTTTGGCAGAAATGCCTTATTCTATAATATTTATAAAACCAGTGCCGTGGTTTTTTTTTCTAGACCGTGGCCATTGTATTACCATTGTGTTATGAATATATGGCAAAGGTCAGAGCTATCCCTCTGTCAATAAGCTATCAAAAAAACAAGAGGAAAATAAACATCAGACTTTGACCCTCATGGTGTTTTACATCTTAGTGGAGACTTCATGTCCTCCGTCTCCAGATAGACCAACTTGTGAAGTTCCTTAGTTGTGTACTCTTGGCTACCAATCAGATTATATCTCCCCGTAGCCAATGGGGACAAAGCAAAGCTCGTTGGCTGGGTGTGTTGGGCTGGAGTTTAAACTTTGGACCAGAGAAGAAGAGCTCAGAGATAGAGTGGAGGCTCTTTAGTAGTGGAGACAAAACTACTTCACAACAGAGTCAAAATACATTTTGACTGAATCTCTGTCGTCTTCGGGGACTTTTTGGTTTTCCACTGAAGCAAGGAAACTATGGAGCACTTCCAAGATCAGGTAAATAACTAAATATTATATATTGCGCTGTAGTTTGATAGCCAACATATCGTCATACAACAGTTTGAATGATATCTTAAGAAGAACTCTCATTTTCCGTGCGTTTTCCTATGAAAGTCCAGCAACAAGTGAATTCTGGTTACACGTTACATGTTCACAGTAAACAGTTTAATTATGTTTAGGCAACAAAACCACTTGGTTAAGTTTAGGGAAAAGATTGTGAAATAGTTAGTTTGAGGCAACAAAACGACTTTTTAGGAAAAGATCGTGGTTTGGTTTAAAATAACTAGAAGTGGCGTTAATTAAATACGAAAGTTACGTGACAAATAAATCAATGTTGACTTCTCGTTTCACACTGGGCACGAACAGCAGTCTACCCGGTGAAAGTCCCACAGTAAAAATATTTACAGACACAGAGATATCTAGACGGATTGGGGCAACATACTTTATAGTTCAGGGAGGATCATGGAGAACGGTTGGCAGTAAGAAGCAGTCCCCAGCTGTGGCAGTTATATGAAACCTTTATATTGTTGTCGTCTTTCCTTCTAAAAACAGTGCGATTAAATGTCATGATCTCATTTCAGGGTTGTGATGGCATTGAGCTGCTCGACTGGCTGTTTGATCAAAACGATGGAATCCTCCGTCACGAGGAAACAGGACGCCATGGCAACCATCACACCTGGCCAGTCCAGGACCCAAATGTGCGTGAGACTGTGGGATCTCTAATGTCACTCATACATTTTTCAAAAAGACATGTGCTTTGTGTGTAATGTGTGGTTCCTCCTCAACATGCTCTGTGGGTCTGTGTTTTTAAAAGACCGTCCCATCTCTCGCCGCGTTGTTGTCTCACACAGACAGACTAATGATAGCTCTTTAGGGTTTTCAACCAGCAGATGCTGCAGCCGTCGGAAAAGGCCGATGATGACTTCCTCAAAGCCCTCCTGAGTGGAAGTGATTCTGTGTCAGGCTCGCCTCTCTGGCCCTCTTCTCCCAGTGACAGTGGGATCAGTGAGGACCCTCCCTCGGACCAGATGGACAGCCCTCAGCGTCCCGAGAGCCCCCCCGGGGACGTGCAGTATTTCGGTGGGAGGCCACAAACCAAGGCAGGCCTCGAAGCCAGCATCTCCACTGATCTCAGTGAGTCACAAGAAAACCATTTGTAATGGGACACATTATAACATCTAAGGGTGCAGCTATTGATTATGTTTGCTTATTTGCTTATTTACACATACAATTATTTCAGAATACTTGTAATACAAAGAAAACTGTCTTAATATAAGTAATCGAATAGGGAAGTTTCATGGTGATATCTATTCCCTATTTTTTCCCCCTGTAGTATCTTGCAAAATGTGTAGAATTTTACAGTACATATCTTTTAAAGGACGTTTTCCCTCATACTCTGAGCCCGAGAACTCCACTTCAGTGGCACTTACATACACATTTTCACCGTGTTTCCTTGAAAACACGGTGAAAATGGATGTTTTATGGCTGTTGACAGTATTTTCTGATTTATTGAGTGCTGCAAAGAGATATACAAAATTCCCTCAGTAAAAACCCACTACTCTAAAATGTCCTCAAAATGAAACAGGACTTTTGAAACTGGCTTTATTCAGATTTTTGCTCTGGACATTTATGCAAATTAGCACATATTAAAAAAAAGATAATGCCTCATTTGCATATAGAAAAATATAATTTAAGCTAACTTGTAATACAAAAATACGTATCAACCTTGGGGGGTCTCCCCTTAAACGACTAACAGCATCATTTATTTCTAATTACATTATGTAAAATTGTGTTTCCTGTGGTTGTGAGCAGAGAAGGATGAATGAAAAACAAATTGTGAATGTGACATTTCAGTCACATCTTTTGCATATGACGCCTTGGATCTCTTTTATCACTGAAGATGAAGTAAGATCACACACATTATTTGTTACTGTGTACAAGAGAATTGAAACACTCACAGACACAGATGTTATTCATGAAAAGCACACATTTTGGGAGCCAAACAGAATAATTGATAGTTGCGTAACATTCAGGCTCCAAATGTCATTTCTCTTTTGTTGTTGTTGTTGTTTATCCCAGAATCCAATCAATGACAATGCTTTGTGTGTATCCTTGTTCCTGTGTGGGTGCAGATGGCTGGGAGGCCAGAATTCCAACGGGCAGGACGAGGATTACGCAATATCCTTCTGATGTACAACGGCCACAGTTGTCTTCTGGCTTCCCTCTAACTGTCAAGGATCTGCTGCTGTCTGGCACATCAGAGCCCGTAAGTGTATCCTGGAGTCTGCCGGTAGGGATGGTACAGTGAGAGTAGCTGGGAGAGATATAGTGTCTTATGGGTGTTTGGTTTCTTTCTTTGGCTGCTAGACTCATTCTCAGGACCTGTTGTTAAATTCATTGTGAGTCAGTGGGTGTGCATTTGTATTTCGGCGAAAACACTTGCTGAAACTATGGACTCACCAAGGGGTGAGGCCTTATTCTTATTTTAAAACTTGTATTTACAGGGAGGTTTGCTGAACTTTCTTAACTTCCCCATTGTTCCTTTATGATATTTGAGATATGACATTTTTAAAGTGTGGATCAAAGACATGAACGTAGTCACCATGGCTTTAATTAACCCATTGGTTTTATGGACTGCTGTTTTGAAGCCATTTAGTTTTTTTGGAACCAGAAGTGACACGAGAGGGTGGAGCTGAGTACAACCGGATGCTAAATACGACAATTTGAGGCGACCAAAAAAGTTTTAATTAACTTTCATGAACTGAAGACACACTGTAAATGGCTTAAATGTGTTAAACAACAACAGGGTCATCACCCAAACCAGACAACCTGTCGATAATAAGGCTTTATCAATCAATTTTACTCTAAACGGAAGCATGGGAGTGGATGGATTACTTAATTGCATTTCGTGGAAAGAGAGTATTATGGAGCGCCATCCATTATCTTAGACAACCCTTCACCCAGAACCTTCTAGCTGTGAGGCAACAGCGCTAACCACTGCATCACTATGCTACCCCATGCTGCACCATATAAAATAAACATTTGTCACAATCATTTTATTCCCAAAGAAAATATTCCTAAGGGATGATGTTTATCAATTGGAAACGCATGATCACCAAAAGCAGAATAAATTGTTTTTGCTTCTGGTGTGCGGTGGTGTGGAGTTCAACGCACTCCAGGTATTGATCCCATCTCCGCAGCGCAGTCTCATAAGATGAAGGAGAGAGTGGCAGAATGCCACTTTCTCACACCGTAATTGCTTTGAAGTAGCCATGAAATGAGTGTGATCAAGGTGGCCCGATAGTCCGCACTCATTTAATTACTTCCTGTGAGGCTAAGGAGAAAGAGTGAAGGAGAGAGAGAGAGAGAGAGAGAGAGAGAGAGAGAGAGGGGGGGGGGGGGGGGTGGAGGTGGAGGAGATGTGCGGGCAGACAGAAATGTAATCACATTTAACATTGATATTCATATTTCACCACCAGCCCCCACTCCCATCCCAACAGTCCATTCAAGAGTTGATTCTCAATGAAGATGAGAAAAAGCTTTTGGTGAAGGAGGGGGTGACTCTACCCAGCCAACTACCTCTAACAAAGGTAAACTGCTACCAATACTTCAAACAATGAAAAACAATTATCGGCTTGCAGAGTTTATCTTGTTGGGGCTCAAAATGAAAATGCTCGTTCCCCTGTCAATCCAGTATGAAGAAAGGATTCTGAAGAAAATACGCAGAAAGATTCGCAATAAGCAGTCTGCTCAGGAGAGCAGGAAGAAGAAGAAGGAGTATATCGACGGGCTGGAGAGCAGGTGAGAAACCCTAACCCTAACCCTAACCCTAACAGAAATGATGATTGTTTTACATGTTTGAACAACATATTCAATAAGCTAAACATTTAAATTAAGAAAATCACCTTGTGGCATCCTGATGTGCCTGCAATTCCATGAAACCATGACTCCCTGGTTTGATTTTGTTCATATGTCGTTAACCTCCCTCGCCATATTTACCGCCTCTGTTTGGGCCGTCACTAATTTCCGCAGGCAACGAGTCGACATTGGAAGCGTTCTGGTTTGTGTTTAATGTCCAAGTAGTATTGACCAATATTTGGTGGAATGCAGGTAAACAGTCCGTGTGGAGCCCAAAAGAGGTGGAACGCATTGGCCAAAATGCAATCTGGGAGCCCACTGGCTATTATCTGACGATGATTTCGCTTTTTATTGGTTTAGAATTAGCTTGTAAACTGGCTACTTCTGAAACAATCCGGACGCACACGTCGTCTCTCGACTCCAACTCCAGTCTTTAACTCTCGCATCTCAAGTTGGTAATCGGATCGTAGACAATGAGCAGCGCACGGAGCAGGAAGTCTTGGCCTAGATGTCCGCTGGCTACCCCAGAAATATGATAGCCCCTCACCCCCAGAGGCTTATCCGTCTTCCAAAAGTGGGCCGTTACAGACAAAAATGCTGCAAATATTTTCTAAAACATCGGCTTGCAGACCCAGAACTTGCTTCAGATAAGAAATCCATTTTATCATGAAAATGTAATGTGAGCTTTGAATTGTGAGTTTTAGGAGTCAGGTACTGAACAGGTGGGAATTTAATAGAAGACCTATGGTACTGTCAAATATGTGTCAGTAGTGTAAAGTGAAGGTTGTATTAAATATTGGACATGTGTGAAATCACCGAAATAAATCACTTCCTGAACGAGAGAGGTCATTTTAAAAATCTCCCTGAACAATTTGGCTATAAAATATGCTGTATATTGCTCAATGGAGCTTTAATGGAAAAGTTCGAGGCATAGTTTCTTTTTTGCAGTATTAAACCAAGTGAGATATTTATATTATTCTTTTGTCTGTGAGGGATTTCACCTTGTCCTTATCATCTCCTCCAGGATGGCTGCCTGCAACGCACACAACCAGGAGCTGCAGAGGAAGGTGTCCCAGCTGCAGAAATGCAACATGTGAGAGATTTCAAAAATATCTTATTTTCCATTTCCTGACATTATGACATCTCTTCCACACAGAAACTGCCTTTAACGTCTTACCTCAACCTCTTGTTCTCTCCAACCCTCGTTAATCCAACTATTTTTGTCTGTCTTTTCCTCTCTTTATGTCCTTTTCCAATCCTCTCCGCAGGTCACTAATGGAACAGTTGCGCAGGCTGCAGGCCATGGTCATGAATAGCTCTAACAAGCCGGCCCAGACTGGGACATGTGTACTGGTACGGACATCCACTTTATAAACGCACCCCGACAATCCATATGACTCACCGTTTAAAAAGAAAATCATGTCATAGCAAGCCAAATAGCAATAACCGCTATAGCTGGATTAACCATCGAGAAAGGCTGATCTAGATGTGCACATAGGACAAAATAAATGCACAGTCCCCTTTCTCTCTGTCTAAACAGAAGCCATTTATTGCCTTTGATCACTCCAATGGAATAAGGGTGCAAGACCTGAGGCAAAATGAGTACGGAAGAATTAAAAAAATTTTAGTTTCAATCTATAAATATGAATGAGTCTCAGCTTCCAGTCACAGAGTTCTTTGCTTTGCAAGAAAAGCACAGCGAGAAAAGGATTCCCGGTTCCTCTGAGCATTGCATAAAAAGCATATTCTCAGAGGGAATATCCAAACCAGCAATAAGAAAAGTTCAACGGTGTAGAACCAACAGATTTTCAAGCACCACCTTTCTCTAACTGTCTTCCCTTTTTATCACATTCTCAGGTGCTTCTGCTCTCCTTCTCACTGATCCTGTTCCCCAGCCTCAAGCCTTTCTCTGACACCAAGGTCAGCCAGGGAGACTTCAGTCCAGTCAGAAGTGAGTAACCTTCAGTGCCAAATAACTTTGTTTGCCCGCCAGCCAACTAATCCAGCACCTCTCTCTGACATCAGAGGAGTTTGTTGTGCAGAGCCCCAAAGGCTGCTCCGCCTGTCTGAGGATTTGCTTTTGACTTAAAACTTTAGAGCCAACGCACAGAGAACCAAGGCCATGTATTATCATAACGGTTATGAAGCTTTTGCTCTGTCAATAGCTTCTGACGAATTACCATTGATATTACTTTATCATTAGATTTATTGGCACAAACCCTACAAACTGTCAATTTCGAATTATGAGGCAAGGTCAGGATTTTCAGAGCACAGAGGTGTAATTTGTTCCCATGAGCTGTTTGACAGCTTTGAAAAAGCTATTGATGCTGCACTTCCCCTGAGTGCTTAATGCTATGTTACCAGTTTTTAGAGTCTTTTAAAGAGTAACTAAACCCCAGAGTTTGGGCTGAAATGCCCCGCCCTAAAGCATTCCCTGCTTTATGGTCTGTTTGACTCTAAATGGACCATAATTTACTAAATGAACATCATGCTGTATTGAAGAAGACTTGAAACTAGAGGTTGAGACCATAAACTCATGTTTACAATGTTTACTGGTGTAATAAATCAAGAGAGAAGTAGGGTCATTTTCTCATAGACTTCCATACAATCTGACTACTTTTTGCATCCGGAGGAGTCGCCCCCTGTTGGTCAGTAGAGAGAATGCAGGTTTTAAGAGACTTCTGCATTGGCTTCACTCTTCAGAACCGGAGGTTGTCGCCTAGATGGGATGGGAGGATAAGACACACCCAGTCAGCTCATTTTCTGTACGCCAGTGTAGCATTACAATCACAGCACAGCACAATCCTTTGTGTGTTCAATTTTAATCATTTAAGGGCTGGCTAGTTAGCTAGCTGGCTCGTTCCTTGCTGATTTAATGCTAGCTACAGAACATAAATAGCATCACATAAACTGCTGTGCTTTGTCTTTGTTACTTTAACATGTAGCTGGACTTTACTGTTTTAACTGTTCATGATATCCATAACCCTTTCAATTAGCTCATGCTAATCGTTAGCATGCTGAATATTGTTATGATTATGGTTAGGTAAGTGCTGTAGAAGGTCTGTTTATAGTAACAAAATACAGTGTGAACATTTGTGCATTTGAGCTTCAAGGCTGGGATATGTGTATGCTAGCGATTAACTTTGCTAGAATAGGCGATTTATAGGCTAATTGAAAGGGCAACAGCTCCTCTTCCCTAATACGCCTCTCTCCACAGTCTAGAGAGTCAGGAGACGTTGGTTTTAAAGGAGGTTTATCAGAGTTTTTTCAATTGCAACCAGTATAGGGCAGTTGTCATGCATATTTACAACGCAATATGTAGAATTTAAATACTAAATGTCAAGATTAGGACCTGAATCCATCAACAACACTCTACCTTTTTACATTGTTTTTTCAGCTGAAGTGTTTTGGGGTTAAGCTACACTTTATTGTCTTTAGGTTTAAATTTGATGTACTCACGACAACACACAAAGGTGAAGTGCCAATATAGAAAACATGGTAATAATATGCAGCTGCATGTCCATGGAGGCTTGAACTTGTCTTTCTTTCTCTCTGTGTCTTATTCTCACACAGTCCAGTCACGGTCCCTGCAGAACATACAGGCTTCCCGTGTGCTGCCTGTCACTGAATCCATGTTCCCCGCTGAGGATGAATCGGAGCCTCTGCACCGGCATCTCCCAGAAGACCGGGTATTGGAAGATATTACCACCATGATGGGAAAGCTGGGAGTGAACCCAGACCAGTCCAGTGTGGAGCCCATGGCTCTAAACAGCAGTCAGCAAGAAAGGATGGGTCATTACCATGTGGACCCAATTACTGGTCACATAGCTTCTTTGACCTTCGATCCCCATCGCTCTGCCAGGCTGCGACCACATGCGGATGACATGTAAAAGGAATTGAGAAATTATTGCTTCGTGAATTCCCTAAATCGTCCTGATAGCAGGGCAGGGAATTATCTGGGGCGATACTGTTTACACAGACAGGGCGAGCAGGTTTAAATGAATCCTTTTTTGCCTTTAATATCATAATATTCAGTCTGTATGTCTTTTCCTTATTTGTGATACTGTTTTATATCAGTATATGGATTTTGAATCTTACACTAAAATTATTAATTGCTAGTGAGAATTAGTTTGTTTGAGATTGTCAAAAAAAGCTGGGCAAATAGAGCTGTGATCATGTGTACAGTTTTGATCTCAATGGATAATTTGTAAAATGTCGAAGGATTTTGAAAGCATGTTTTCATTGAAGAATTTATTGGAACTGTTTGGATTAATTCCTTGATAAAAACTGCCACAAATAAAAGATGTCAAAACGAGATCAGTGGGCTCAAAGTACTGTGGATTTTCATTTTATCTGTTCAATTTTAGAGCTTTTATGAATATAAAGCAAGCGCACAGTGCAATAATTCCCCTGACAGCGCCTGAAAAGATACGATCCGACCTCTTATATCATGACTCAGACTTCTTATCCAATAATTTACATGTTGATCTATTTATTTGTTGAAGACAGGCTGTAGCTTGTGTCCACAGCTTTCACTGTGTCTGGCTTGTCAGTGTCGACCACACATTGATGGTGTGAAAGTGTTCTCATGCTCACTGCCACTGTGGCCAGAATTTCATCTAAAAGGTCTGACATGATTAGGTTGGCATTTTGTGTGGTCAGCTAGACTTCAAAGGAGGACCAGAGAGTCGATTCTGTGATTAAATGAGCCACTGTAGAAACCGAGTAGTCACTTTTTGACCAAACAAAATAAAGAAAAAACAAGAATAATCCTAAAACTGGAAGATATTGCAACATCCCTAATAGGTGGATTTATAATAACGATCCTGCAAGGCACATGAAACGCAATATTGTGAAATTGGCTTTTAAAGAAACATAACATTTCAAAACTCTGATTTTTTAAACACCTTAAATAATGGAAACTTTAAATATTGGAAAGGCTTTTAAGAATAGATCTGTGTTTCATAATATATCAAAACTGACGTGAAGGGCAATATATCAAAAGGGAATTTTACAACACCTACAATACCTTGTTAGCTTTTCATCATAGAATGTATAGAAGAAGTGGACGCTTACCCACAATTCATAGCGTTGTGACGTTAAGCGGGGTTACCGGTGGAAGCCAGAGATGTAAAAAAAAAAGGTAAACAAAGAAGATGGCAAGTGTCAACCGGAGGTTGTCGCCTGCTCTTCACAACTCTCACTTTATGGAGATTAAACATTGAGCTAACAGTAAAAAATACTTTACACTTTTACTTTAGACTTCAGTGCTCACTAAAATAATAATTGTATATATAGAGAGCAGTGAATGCGTAAACAAGGACGTGATTTGGGACACATTGAAAGAGTCTACAGCTATGCTAGCTGCTCTGTGAGGTTGTACTTATAGACACAGCGGTGCTTTGAGCTAAATGCTAACATCTGCATGCTAATATGCTCACAACGACAATACTAATATGCTAATGTTTACAGTGTTCTCCATCTTAGCTGAGCGTGTTAGCATGCTAACATTTGCAAATTAGCACTAAACACAATGTACAGCTGAGGCTGATGGGAATATCATTAGTTTTAGCTTCAAAATTTGACCCAATGATGGCGCTTGAAGGTCAGAGGATCACCAAAGTTTTTAAGATAGCTGTTGAGATGTTTAGGTCTTGTTGAATTGGCGGACCACTCGACAGACCAGCAGACCTACATGCAGGGGTTCGACCTTCTCTCTTGGGCTACCCTTTATCATTTTTTTTGTCTACTAATATCTACAAATGAAAGCAACTGTATGTTCCTTGCATGCATTGGCTTTAAGTTGACTCAATTCTAAGACAAAGCTGTTGAGTTTTAGCTGCTAATAGTTTAACTTTTGTGGTTTAATAGAAGATAAAATCAGATCCCACCAACAATCATTTTTCTGCACATTAAATTCTCGTTTTACTTTTACTTTTATGTGTGAGGAATGAATGATTATTCTACGTGGCCGGAGGGTTTCATTCCTCCAATCACTGGGAACCCGATTAATTGTCACCGTTCAGTTTATTAATAGCTGACAGCGCTGGCTTTGTGTCAGGTCTTTGAATTGCAAACTAATAAGTATCAACTGTCTGCAGAGGACAGGATTAGGATTGCTTGTTCTGTAAAACTACTCATTTAAAGGAAACAATACGTTAATCAACTCTAATCTCAGTCATCATTAGTCTTGTATGAAAGTAATGTCACACAATATGCTCTGTAACAGTATGAACTGATGATGTGTGAGCTGGTTGACCCGCCGTCTCTTTATCTCTGACCTATGTCTGTCCCCCTTCTTCTTTACTCTGTCTTGTTTTTTTTTCTCTAATCAAAGTGATTGACCACCAGGGTTGTTAATCAGCACTTCAACCCATCTTTTTGATTAACCAAATCCCCTGGGAGCCGGGAAGGACTCTCGGCCCCAACTGAGTTTGTGAGTCGTAAGGGAATAATGGGAAGACTGAGTGTCTATCAGATAGAGCCAGCATCTTCTTCTTTAATCTACATAATGGACTTTCTCTTTCAAGGTGCAATGCTGACCCAGAAACACTTTGTGTGTTACTTGTTTGTTGGAGGATTCCTGAACACCTCCAAACTTTCTTTTAACAGAATTGTTTTTTCTTTAAGAGGGAACTAAAGCACCCAATTAAACACGTTTCTTGTTTTGTTTTTTAGACATGGTGCAATGTGCCTTTCTGCTGCAGCACTGATTTGAAAACTGTCAGGCTCATAAGACTAAGCTGCAGTCTAAAAAAGTTTTTGAGAAATAAAATGTTGTTTGCAAATGCACTTGTTGTCTATCCCCAAAACTGTACCATTGAGTACGTAAATTAATCTTGAACATCAAACAATATATGGAGTGTATGAAATGTCAGGATAAGACACTTTCAGATGAGCTCATTTGGTTGATGAATTATAATCAGAATCACCTTTATGGGTTCATCTTCTTCATTGTTAATGAAGTAGATTAACCTTTGTGGTTAGTAGTACTGTATTGCTGGTTATAAAAGTGCAATGTGTAATGCCTGGTGGTCACATGCTCCAAAGAAATAGGGGTTAGCCTTTCACCTCTACTACTGGGTCCATACTATCAAAATGTACAGTCTTTGGTCAGAGAAAAAAACCTACAAACTAACAACTTCAGCCAAGGTTCAGGATCAGAACCCAGTTGCTGGGGTTTGCAATGGCTGAATTGGAGCTAACTGCTCATTTCTACATCCTGCTCTTCTCCCTGCTCTTCTCTCCTCCCAGCTTCTGAAGCTGTGAGGACAAAATTAACATTCTATATATATATATATCAGCAGTGGACAACCTCTCCAACACTCGACCCAAGGCATACATCAGCACAGGAAATGATAAGTGACATTGCCCTGGCATATATTAATTGTCTGATTATGCAGGGCTCTGAATTAAATTGACTTTTTACCCAGAAACAAGTTGGCTGCATGGAATTCATACTGTGGTTACCTTTAGTTTCTGGTAGTGACTATAGAACAGAAATTGTATTAAAGTATGAATTAAATGGTGGGATTTAAGGGGCCATAATTGAATATTCCAAGCATAGAAACAGATCAGCCACATAAATTCACATTACATCATGTTACATTTACTGTTCACAATCTTGGAGAGTTGTCTTTGGCTTCTTCTATTCCATTAATGTAATACGACACTGGTCAAAACTGGCAATTTATGGATAGAATGACGAAAACAGCATGTTCTACTGGATTAACTGGCCAAAAGACCTGCTGCTCCAATTATTTATTCTCTTCATTCAAACCCAGGTGTTGTGTTGTGTGGTGTTGTTGAGTACAGCTTTATACAGACAATGTGTCGACTCATCTAAAACCATATGGATGACAATAAGTTAAATCAAAAGCACTGTTGCATGATTCGACTAAATTAATGGGATGGGGTTCTTGGTCTGTAATGCATTAATCCGTGGACATACTTATTTAATAGAAATTCGCCTTAAAGGAGGATTAAACAGTCCTGCATGTGCCAGATCTTCACCCACAATCAATAAGACGAAAACTAAGATGCTACGCTGCAAACAGCACAACGTACAGTGCCTATTGGTCTGTCAAAAAATAATATCAAGGAAAATAGCATCAGCATTGTTTCATTGCTGGAGAATGTCTCCACAGAAAGTTGCTGCAGCAGTATTTTGTTGAAGATAAAAAATTACCCCTGACAGCACATTTTTACCAAGGCATGGATTCTAGCCTTAAAAAGCACAGCGGCTTGGAGTGAGATATCTAAATAAATTCTGAAGGCACAGACGGTCTGAATATGTCTGGAAGTCACTTCAATTACTTCTGCCTCTAATCACTATGTCAGGAGTGTAGGCAGGGCGAGTACTGGAAACCTTCAGCAGAGCAGACACCTCGCTGTGAATGGGAAGCATTTTTAATCAGCTTTGGATCCAGTCACCCTACGAAGGTGTTTGGCAATTTATACGTTAATATATAATTGTTACATTCTTAGACTTAAAGAGTTAATTTAACACACACAATATTTATACAGTAGCTCTCCCCTGTTAAGAAGAATATGTTTAATGGTTGTTGAAATAAATAAGTGAGACTCCTGCAGAAGGTTTTGTCCCTGAGAGGCTGATTTTTATTTGTTTAGTTTTTTCTACTTCTTGCCAGCTGAAATCTTCTGGTTCTTCAATTTAGTAAGTATACATGTTCATTTATTGTAATGTCCAAGACAGCAATTTCTGTGGGCCTTTTTTCAGATAATTAATGTCCATTTTTGTCCAAAAGATTACTGTTCAGCAGACCACCTAGATAGAGCAATTTAGCTTTCCTGTGGGCAAATGAATCATTAATAATAATAATAATAATAATAATAATAATAATAATAATACATTTTATTTATAGAGTGCTTTTCATAGGACTCAAAGACGCTTTACATTAAAATCATCATATATAAAAGCAATACACTAAAAACATTACAAACAAAACAGATTTCAGCTCAGCTTAGACACGGCATCATAAAGGTGCATTTGGACGGGGGAGTAGTGTGTGGTGGTGCGGGGGAGTCAACACACAAACACGCAACAGTGCAAACAGAAGAAGGTTTCACTAACCGGGCACTGTGTCACGGCCGATGGCTCCCCTTGGCACGAAAACTGAACCTCAGAAAGCTCACAGCAGAGTTGAATCCCCAGAGTTTGCCAAACACCAAATATTAGCAGATGACGATATGAAATTGTTCTTTATCCACCCGGGAACACTAATCATTCTCCAGCTCTGTGAACTGGTAGCCAAATGCTCCAATGGGAGATTTTTATGCCATCATAAAATATGTCGGTATTCTGTTGGAATTATCTCTGGTCATCGCTGGGACAACAAAACTGCTCATTCATTCAAGCAGACAGTCAGCACTCCGGGGCAGATAAACACCAAAACGTATCCATCTAATTGTTTTAATGATTCTATCCTGTAGGACAAACAAACAAAGACATGTCCTTGTCTTGTGGGTCAGTAAGACAGGGTTCACTCCAATATCATCAGTCACTAAACACAAAAGGTTGTGTCATACAGATGCTACAGTTTGCTTACTCACTGCGTTCAACTTTGCATGATCAATCCAGACAGCCTCAACAACCCCTCTCCCCTGAGCCCTGAATCATCACAACAACTTGTTGCCTCAACAGCTGATATCAGTACAGTGGTGTTATGGTCCACAAAGCGCCCTGTTCTTTACTTTATTTTTACTCTTTCTGCTTCTTATCCTTGTTTGATTGCTCTTGGTTTGTTTTTGAAAAGTGCTGTACAAATAAACATTCATAATATTCTACTTGTGAGACGTTTATGAATCTTTCTCCTGGTCTGCTCATTTCAGGCACATTTTAGGAGAACTTAGGCTGCTGGCCCTTGTTTCCTATCTTCATGAATAGACGGTATGCCTTCGTGGCCTGTCCGAGATTAGACAGCTCCTCCCAAGGATTCCTGCTGGACCCAGATCTTTGCTAAAGTTGAAGCCCACCTTTTTGCGTGACCTGAGGCACCAACCTTGTATCATGTTGATCTCTTGGCAGATGGTGCAATCATCATGGCCTCCCCTGGGTCTGAATAGTGAAGCCAAGGCTGAAGTACCTTTACAATTTCTTTTTTCTAATGGCCATCAGGGGGCGACTCCTCTGGCTGCAAAAATAAGTCCGATTTTATAGAAGTCTATGAGAAAATGACTCTGCTTCTCACTTGATTTATTACCTCAATAAACATTGTAAACATGAGTTTATGGTCTCAATCTCTAGTTTCAAGTCTACTTCAATACAGCATGATGTTCATTTAGTAAGTTATGGTCCTATTTTTGGTAAAATAGACAATAAAGCAGGGTATGGGAGTTGTCTGTGTTTTTGTCTCAGAACATTCACAGAGTAGTTTCAGTTCATGAAACCCAGAAACCCAAAGAAGTCCATTCATATTCCAATGTGTAGAATCTGCAGAAGTAACTTGGAGAGCCTTTAGAGCCTAATAGAACTAGGGTTACAATGCAAACACTTGATACCACAAAAGAAGCGGACAAAAAGGAAAATACATTTACAGATTTTTCATTTGAAGGCCTTTATCCACATGTCGATCACAGCGTCAATGTGAGGTGTCCTTGACAGCCGCATAATAACTTGGAGTCGCTGGTATGCAATCTGTGAAATATCAGGTGCTTAGTAAGCAGTCTGCTCAGAATTATTCTACAGCACAGATTTAAACACTAAGAACATTAAACCAGGCATACTGTCAGTGCTCCTGCATTTTTAAGGGTTGTTAAACTGTCAAGAACTGGGTCACAACGGATTAAGATTTTCTTTTTTATCCACTCGTGTCTTTTTAATTTGCTCAAAAACTTACAGGGAGGGATTACTTACAGACAAGGGAAGTGACTCCAAAAAAGTAAGAGGGTAATACACCAGTGATATTTGTAGTCTGTGGACAACTCTATTTTCTTTGAAAGTGTTACTTATTCTGAAGTCTACTGGCTTCACTGTTGGACAATATGACATCAGCTTTAAGCAGCATGTTTCTGTTGATGCCGGCTGGAAGCCAACAAGAACTGAAGTAAAGCGAATTTTGATTACATTTGTGATTTTGCACAAATGTAATCAAATGTGTTTTCTGTCAATCCAAGTCACTTGGATTGACAGAAAACTACAAAGCTGAATAAGGTCAAAATAAATATATAGTAGATATGACCATGAAACTTCCCCAGTTGATTATATACATTTGGAATTATTTTTGTTTTACACATTGTTTTATGTTTAAATATGCAAATGAGGCATTATCTTATTGAATATGTGCAAACCTGCATACATTTCCAGAACAACAATCTAAACATTGGATAAAGCCAGGTCTTGTTTCATTTTGTTGACATATCAGAGTCAAAGGATTTTACAGAAGGAATTTTGGATATCTCTTGTATCACTCCAATCAGAAAATACTGTCAACAGCCATTAGAAATCCATTTTCACCATGTTTTAAGGAGTATAATGTTTTATAAATCAGGCCATGGATGATATATGAACAAACTCCACTGTGAAAACTTTCAGAATATAGATAGGAATGAAACTGGAAAGTTTGGTGGATGAAAGTGGAGATTTCTGGGTCGGAAAGAAGTTATTTCAAGAAAACGACCTTTAAATGTAGAATATGCTGAGATTTTCCAAAAAATGCTATGCATACACTGATGCAAAAATAATCTCTCTCAATCATCACTTTTGACCTACTAAGTGTGTGGTGGTGTCTGTGTTCGAGACGTTTCTGAGCGTAGGTGAAGGGCCAGCCAGGATGATGCCTGCCCTGCACTGAAACAATTATTAACTAATGTTTTATTTCTCTGATTCACTGCTTTGTTCTCACTAACGCCGCTCCCTCCCCTCATATGTTTAAATATGCAAATGAGGCATAATATAATAATAACTTTTGGTGGATTTAGGAGAAATCTAGAGACACAGATAGACAAAGTAGTAAAACCTAAATGTGTATTTTGGGTGTTTTTTTTGTTTGAAAGAAGACATGTAAGCAAAATAGCCCCAAATCTCAAAATAGACCAGTACATGAGGAATAAATATTTATTTTGGCCTGGGTTGACTCTCCAGCATGATGCAAAGTAAATAAATTCTGAGCCTGAAAATATTTTAAAATCAATAATTTGTCAAATTTTTAATGTTTCAACCGTGTTTGTAAATAACTCCCTTTATGATATTTATACTTCTATTGATGAGAAATTCTGCAAAATTCTATTCACTCTTGTGTGTAAAGCAACTTGATGATTTGAAATAATCAAAATAATACAAATACAACAGTGAGTTTTGTTCTAATTTCTAATATTCACAATCAAAGGCATTTACAAAACATTTTTCATATGTTTAGGACCTATTTTTAATATTAGTTGGGGTATTGGCAATATAATCTTTACTTTCTTTTATTTTCGTGATGCATATAACAGTTGCAGAGACGCCACTAATCTTCCTCCTTCGTCCAAGTTGTAACAGACGGGATTTGTTAATAGCAGAGAGAAAGGGCAAGACAGATTCATTATACAGAAGTATTTTGCGCAGTATATGCTCATCCAGAGAAGTTGTTCATCTTCTAAATCTTTCAAATCTTCCAACATTTCTTTCCCCAATCACCTCCTCTTCACATGTGAGTGAGAACATCAAACGCAGGACTGTGTGTGTTAACACATAGTCGGAATTCAGCGCACAGTTGTCCTCTCCTCTCCTTTGTATATTTTACGCGCCCAATTGCACGTCCCCAAAAGCTCGCTTTTAAAAGCGGCACATGATTATTCGGAAGGTGCCGGTGTCACGTCAAAACACATTGAGATACACTGCTGACGGACGTGCTGGGAGACTTTGATGTGGGAATTTGCTCTGGTCCAATAATCTGGTTGGTGAGGTGATGAGCGCGACTGAGCTCCGCGCGTTCACGTGGAACATATAAACGGACGTTGCGCGCAGATCCGTGAGTAGTCGTGGAGAGAGGAGAATAGGATAATCGTGGCAGAGGATCTGTGTCGCTGCGGGAGATTACCTGACACAGATACATCAGGAAAATGCTCACAAAGCCATCATCACAGATATTTTCATCTCTCCTTCTAACACATGGCCGTCAAACTTTAATGTCCGAGGTGATATGAGAACAGGAGAGTCCGGCCATGCAGCTGAACGAGACTGGAGTTCAAACACTGGCTCCAGAGCCACGTGAGCAGCAGATACTACAGGAGGACAACACCGGAAACTGTAGCAGCGGCTCCACCAGCAACCTGTCGCTGCACTGCTGGCTGCAGCTCCTCACCAGGGAATCCATCATGGATTTTCAAGGAGACGGCTCCAGTCTGGTGGTGCGTGTGATGATAGCTTGTGTCTACTCCATAGTCTGTGCACTCGGGCTGGTAGGCAACTCGCTGGCTCTGTATCTGCTGCACTCGCGGTACAAGCAGAAGCAATCGTCCATCAACTGCTTTGTGATGGGGCTGGCCGTCACAGACCTCCAGTTTGTTCTGACTTTACCTTTCTGGGCGGTGGACACAGCCCTGGACTTCCGTTGGCCATTTGGCCGTGTGATGTGCAAAATCGTCAGCTCCGTCACCACCATGAACATGTACGCCAGTGTATTCTTCCTCACCGCTATGAGCGTGGCACGTTATTACTCGATTTCCTCCGCACTGAAGATGCACAGCCGGCGGGCGGCGGCCACTAGAGCCAAGTGGACGTGCCTGGGCATCTGGGCTGTGTCTCTGCTGGCCACTTTGCCCCACGCTATCTACTCCACCAGCTTCCAGGTGTCGGATGAGGAGCTTTGCCTGGTGCGCTTCCCAGACTCAGGCAGCTGGGACCCACAGCTTCTTTTGGGTCTCTACCAGCTGCAAAAGGTCCTGCTGGGCTTCCTCATCCCTCTGATCATAATCACCGTCTGCTACCTGCTGCTGGTGCGCTTCATCCTCAGCCGACGCATCGCGGGTGCGGGGGGCCCAGAGGTCGAGCAGGGCCGGCAAAGGCGTCGCTCCAAAGTGACCAAGTCCATCGTCATCGTGGTTCTGTCCTTCTTTCTGTGCTGGCTTCCAAATCAGGCGCTGACGCTGTGGGGAGTGCTCATAAAGTTCGACCTTGTGCCCTTCAGCAAGGCCTTCTACAATGTGCAGGCCTACGCCTTCCCGCTGACTGTGTGCTTGGCACACACCAACAGCTGCCTCAACCCCATGCTCTACTGCTTGATTCGCACGGAGTTTCGGGCAGGGCTCAAGGAACTTCTCCTCCACGCCACGCCATCCTTCAGGAGTCTGACTCATCTGCTGCATCGCAAGGTCAAAGTGGCCGATGCGCCGCCTGTTCTCGTGCTGGTCCAAATGGATGTCGGACCTGGATGTTGAATGACTAGCTCACAAAGTAAATAAGTGAAAGCTGCCTATAGTACTATTGATCTAAAGTTGTTTGCCATGACGGTGCATCCATCTCAACCTTGTCAACACAAATGTTTTTGGTCTTTGAAAACAACATAATGATAATGGACTACCCAGTGGGATGTGGCCCACTTTCATTGCGTGCTCCTGAGATTCCCCCAGCAAATATCTTTTACTTGTTATACAACGACTCTTTCTCTCTCTGTCCGTCTCTCTCTCTCTCTCTCTCTCTCTCTCTCTCTCTCTCTGTACGTCTCTCTCTCTCTCTCTCTCTCTCTCCCTCTCTCTCTCCCTCTGCCTCTGACAGACAATATGTTTGCTGCTCTCTGGCAATCTGTCATGTGTATAGATGTCACTCATGGGATTTAAATAGTTGCAGCACTCAGATGGTTTGACTGTGATGAGCTCAACCTCAATTAACATTTGCCACAGCATCGGCATCGCGAGTGGGATCAACCATCCGTGACACTCACAATGCATGAGAACTTCACTGATCAAACTTTCTGACTGAATGGATGAGGGGTTTACTCGGAGAAAACAAGAATAGATCGTGACCAATATGTTTCAAAGGAGGATGGAGGATATGAGTATAAGAGGGGGTTTCCCAGTGCGTCGGCCAGTTACCGTGTTTGTATTTGTTCTATGTTGCACTTGTTTACGTCGTTTCAGTAAAAGCAAACTGGGAAAATAAAACCCAACGAGCGCTGAAATCAACCTGTTGTTTTTCAAGGTTAGACAATATGACAATATAACACGTCGAAGGGTTCAGTAGAACAAATGTGTGGTTTGTGAGATGAATGTTGTTCTCGAGGGAACCCGAGAATCACGAATTAAGGGGATTCAAATTAGATTCATACTCCTGTGCAACACATCTAGTTGCACATGAGCTGAACACATATATATATATATATATGCACACAAATAGAAATGTTTATGCTCACTATTACGCACACATGCAGAATATATCTGGGTGCAGTTTTCTCATAGCGGTAGATGTGTCAGATTGAGCAACATAATGAATCATTTAGAATTCACATTACAGCTGCAGGTGTATGGCTTTTGCAGAATATTCAAATCAGGCTATTTACACAAACATTGCGTTTCTCCATGGACAGTTCATTAATGTCAACACCAGCCGTTTCTTCTCTGTTAAATGACATGTTGAAGGAGCACGTAACTGAGTAGACTGACATGATGATGTGATCTTCTGTGAATGTGATGGCTCTCTGTATTCTGTCATAATCATGATATTTTATATGACACGTTTGTGGATTTGCTGTTTCAATGGAATGTTTCAATGACGTAATGAATAAACTAAAAGCCCTGAGCTGGAACTCTTTGTATTAATTGTCTAAGTTATAATTCAGAGGATATCCACAGGGAAATGAATTAGGCAATAGGAGTTTGGAAATTAAGTTGGGACTGTTGTTGTTGTAAAACAATTCGCTGACAGAAGGGCATCAAACAGGCAGAGCCTCACTCCACTGTTCTCTTATTAACGATTTTTCATATTATCATTCTGTGTTTGCACAGCACATCTTCAATCACTACCAACATCAGCACCGCACCGCACAAATAATCTATGAGCAAAAGTGATGAGAAAAGTGCTGTTAACAAGAGTTGGTATCAGACGGAGGGAATCGCTTTTCTCTATCCTCACTAAGAATTAAATTTGCACTTTTAATCAAAGCTCCATTGTCACGGAGTGAAAATACAGAGAAGCAAAAATCTAAATATTTGAATATAAAAACCTATTAAAATATTATGGCATGATATGTATTTGGTTTGAAATGCCCCAGGGACCCAGACAGCCCTACGAATGCCCCCGAGTCATTGTTTGTTAATTGATTTGTGGTAATTTAATTAATTGCTCATTTGGGTGAGAACATGCCTCACAAGCATGAAATGATGAAAGCATTAAAAGTGCTCAATATGAAAACAGAGCATACATATTGGCCATACATAATGGATTTTCTTTGCACTAATAATAATACAACACCACCATAGACAGAAGCGTCTTAACAACTTCAGGCCTTGAGGCTATGGACATTTTAGAGGCCCTTCCCTCCCTTCACAATATGCTATGGCAACTTTAATTAAGCAAACCCCCATCAATGCACAGCAACAAATAGTAAAAGGAGTGCCCTCTTCATCAATAACAAGAATATGAAGTAGGGCTGTATAATAGTTCAGAGCCTGATTCATAATGTTGACATTTAAATTCTAAATCAACATTCCAATGTTTTGTTTTTCAACCCAATATTTCTGCACAGTTGCAGATGAAGATCAGGCTACACTAATATTATATTATAATTAACATTAGATTCTAGTAGTGGCTGCGTTGTAAAGTTCTAAAGTAAAAATGTATTGGAAAAAATATATATAATCATTTCCAAAATCCCAAACATGTTTTAATCTGACGAAATAGATCAGACAGTAATCCAGCTAAGAAGCACTGGTCTGCCATGGGTAGTCCGCTGTGTGTGCTGCACTTGAAGGTAACCTGGTACATACACAATTCACAAAGAATGGGAGGAGGGCAATCAACAGGAGCCCATGGCTCATTTTGCCCTTGGGGCCCCCTACAGGGTTAATCCGGCCATGCTGGGGAGAGAATTTCTTGCAGAGTAACAGAATCAGTGACTTGTGTAACATTGACTCTGGACAGTCAGTCAGAGAAGATGAATGAGCAGTTGTGTATTTTGAGATTTCTAGAAGCAAACCATATGTATTGTCATAACACCTTTATTTATGCAGAACTGGATTGTGAATTGTGCTTATGTTCATTTTGATCATTGAAAAACAACTGTTGCACATTGATTTTCCTTGAACAATGCAGTACCCTGCTCATGCAAAGAGCTGTATAAATAGCACAACCAGTAGAGTCAGACATGAGCAGATTATTTTAAAATCGTCAAGCCTCACATCACTGCTGATTATCCATGACAAACCACTGGTATCACACAGAGTGTTTTTCTTCATACATTTGGTCCATTGTTTTCACACTCAGCTGTGGAGGATCACTTTTGTAACTACACATACCTGCACAATTGATATGTGTAGCTTCAGCGTGTGCGTCCTGTAAACCTTGGCTGGGTAAGTATCCAATAACAACTAGCAAGCCCTCTGTTCAGCATGCAAAGCTCATAAAATGATAATGAACAAGTGCCATGTTGCGGAAAACTGTTTATGCTCTCCTTAACAGGTAGACTATTTTTTTTTCTTTAATTACAGCTGACCTATAATTTGCCTGTGTTCTTTTGTGTGTGTGTGTGTGTGTATGTGTGTGTGTGTGTGTGTGTGTGTGTGTGTGTGTGTGGCTATATAGACAATAATGATATTCACACAGCTCTCTCTGCCCTCAGCAGCCCACAGAATACATCTATGGATTTATCTTTCATAAACCTTGTGGAGCATTTACATAAACTGAGCAAGAGACTGGTGTACATATTACAGGAACTACAACAGCGCAAACAATAGCTTTACATTTAAAGTAAATAGATGTTTCGTTAAAGTCAACACCTGAGAATAAATGGAGGAAACACCTCCAATCCTTCTAACAATAAATGGGGAAAGATACCTGGAGGACTAGCTGACTTACAGGGAAATACTTGAGCTCTTATTTTATCACAGTACTGCGAAGTTTATCTTTTATATGACACCATGCTTTGTGTGAGTGAGTTATTTTCTCTCAGAATACATCCACATCCGAGTTCATATCTTCTTCTTCTTCCAGCTGTTCTCCCGGGCATCGGCCTCGATCTGCGCCCGGAACCTTCTTGTTGTGAGGTGACTACCGTGCAGCCCATCTGAATTCATATCTATAGCTGTCATATTTGTTTTTTCTCTCAAACAAAAGTTTTTTGATTAGAAACCAAATATCACACACAGAAGTGCCCGACTTTAACAGGAGTTCCAGCAGATTTAACAGACTTATCAACATGCACTTAACTACCATTCATGTCGGGCTGTTTGGTCAATACTCATCCAAGTTTCCCCCGAGATCGAAAGCGGTAGCAGAAGGTTGCATGACACCCTTTGGTGCTGACCTTTCTCCAAGACCCTAATGATAGCCGAACGACACCTGCATCTCTATAATATATGATAAGTATCCCTCATTAGCATTTCACAGACGGATGGAGTTATTTAGAAGCAGGTGAGACACATAGCGTGTTAATGTCACGTAGCCTCCATCAAAAGGTCCTGATGTGAGAGAGACCCCATACAGCTAAACCGATTATCTATACATGTAACGCTGCAAACTGGGCCCCCCATGAACGGCAACGTCAGCCAAGTTTAACTGTACAGAACCTTTCATCAGCAAAGCAATTCAAAGTGCTTTTATGAAATAAATAGGATTTTGTGTGAGAGATATGCAAGCTCAGGGTATTATATGTTGAGGAGATGTGGAGAAACATTAGTTAACAATTTGAAAGTAGAGCACAAGAAGGCTGTTGGTGAAAATGCCTGAAAACAAGTGAGATCACTTCTTAGTGTCACTTTATTATACTGTTTTTCTCTCTTTATTTCACTTGTTTCTTTAATCCTTTCCTTATCTATTTATTTAAAATAGAGCCCTCTTGGAATATAATCCCATTTTAATGGGCATTTATCTACAGCTCTCTTAATTAAATGAGATTCCTGATAAATAAACAAACACACACTTCTTTTTTTTTTCATAAACTCACCGGCAACAATTTACTTGGGTCATAACTAATTAATCATTCAAAGCAGCATCTTACTCTCTGTGGGAGCTTTTTCCATTTCCAGGATATTTTTCGAAGGTTTAGTGGAGTCTGAAGATTTTCAATCAAGGCATCTGTGAGTGGCTCTAATTTCTTCTGCTCATCATATCCAGTTGCACCGTCACATCCATATCTTCAAAAGTCCATCATGGAATTTAATTTACTCTCCCAAAGCAACAGAATGCTTATCACTCTGACTATTAAAAGGCTTCATGAGTGCTAAGCACTAACACAGAGTTAGTCAGAGGCTGATTCTCTCCCCCTCTCTCAACCCCTTCACAGCCTCCTGCTTTGCTGATGCCCTCTGGGATTGGCTCCAGCACCTCTGCGACCCTCGGATAAGCGTGTATAGCATACTGGATGGGTTCTTCACCTCCAGTGTGTGCGAAGCCTGCCTATAATCTCAGCGAGATAGGACATTTATGCCATTTTCATCTGGAAAACTTTGGTTACTGCATTTATCTTATCATAGCAGCAACCCATATTCCAGATAGATGTATTAATAATGTATTTATCGCGCTGAAAATCTTCTCTTGTCTCTTCACTTGTCTGACTCTTGGTTCGTTTGTGTCACTCAAGTGTCTTGTCAACTTTGCTCCCTGCATGACGCCCATATAGTGCAGGCACCATGGAGAGATACGATTTAGGACTCCTGATTTCTTTTATTGGCCCCCAGGGGAAACAAGTCAATGTCAAGCAACTCCTCCGTGAACCTGACATCCCTGCAGATTATAAAAGGGAGTTGCCTTATGGTGTTGTTCAGTGAGCTTCCTGGAATCAGAAAAGAAAAAAGTTTGTGGCAGAAAAGCTCTTGATCTGCTTTTTGCAGTATAGGCGTACACAATAAATGATGCGGGAAACACAGAGTAAAGTTTAAGGCTGTGATGAATCAGTGTGAAGGATTTAGTGGCATGTTGCAGATTGCATCCAACTGAATATCCCTCCGCTCACCCTTCCCTTCCCAAGCGCGTCGGAGAACTACGGTGGCCTTCAGGTAACGTAAAAACACGAAAGGCTCTCTCTAGTGTCAGTTTGGTTTGTCTATTCTGGGTTACTGTAGATGGCAGTGCAACATGTCAGACTTCATGAAGTGGACCCGCTCCCTATGTAGATATACACGGCTCATTCTAAGGTAACAAAAACTCAACGTTTCTCAGTTATAAGTTGTACACCGATGAAAACATAGTTATGAATATTAACACTAAGAATGTTCAGCCATGGTAGCAGCTCTGTGAATCTGCCCTTAGACAAAGCGGTGCTTTGAGCTGGATGCTAACCTCAGCATGCTAACCACATCCACGACGCTAACATGCTCACAACGACAATGCTAACACTCCTATGGTAAGCAGGTGTAATCTTCACCATCATCGTAATCTTAGTTTAGCGTGTAAGCACGCTGACATTTGCTAATTAGCACTAAACACAAAGTACAGCTGAGGCTGATGGGAATGTCAATATTTTAGCAGGTATTTGGACATAAACCAAAGGACTGGACAAATGAAAGTGTTGGCCTGATGTTGACGTGAGTTAAAAGATTATCAAAACTATTCAAATTCATCATGAGAGGAACATC